CCCTCTCTCCTCTCCCTCTCCTCCCTCCCTCCCTCCCTCTCTCCCTCCCTTGCCACCATCAGGTGTTCATGGAAGACAGTGGGAAGGACCCAGGAATCATCCACCCGTTCGGCTACCTCAAAGCCAGCTCAAGTCTTGCACACGTCACTCTTTTTGTGATGCCATTCAACTATTCTGCTCTACTTCCTCTCATCAGTAAGATACTCGTCCCAATGTGCGGGAAAATGTTTAAACTGAAAGGGCTGCCCACTCTAAATCAATTTGCTTCAATAATCGATCAGAATAATTTACCTGGCCCACCTGGCTTACACACAAAATGTTTTTCGAAAGTACAGACGTGGTCTATCCAGTTATTAGCACTAGCTCGCCAACAATTAAGGGTGTTAAAGCACACATGCACATGTGCAACAAATACTATGTATTAGGGTAATTTTACTAGATATTTCACCCTTCACACACACATGAGAGGTTAAACAATACATTGAACTACAGTTTAAACCACTTTTTGCACCTCCACAGTATAGTCACAGACGAAATACTGTATTTCATCCAAGAATAAATACGTGTGACTTGCACTCTGGAAAATAATGGTAGTTTGTTTCATTCCTAATCAGATGACCTCCAGCGTCACGGAATGAGACCTCCACCAAAATGGCGGAAAGAATTTTCAGACTACCTCTCTACTGTACCGTCCTACTACACCCAGGTCAGTACATTACTGCCTCCAGGGTGTACATGCATGTATGCACATACTGCTACATAGTACTGTATGTAAGTTCACTACTGTACCGTCCTACTACACCCAGGTCAGTACATACCGCCTCCAGGGTGTACATGCATGTATGCACATACTGCTACATAGTACTGTATGTAAGTTCACTACTGTACCGTCCTACTACACCCAGGTCAGTACATACCGCCTCCAGGGTGTACATGCATGTATGCACATACTGCTACATAGTACTGTATGTAAGTTCACTACTGTACCGTCCTACTACACCCAGGTCAGTACATTACTGCCTCCAGGGTGTACATGCATGTATGCACATACTGCTACATAGTACTGTATGTAAGTTCACTACTGTACCATCCTACTACACCCAGGTCAGTACATACCGCCTCCAGGGTGTACATGCATGTATGCACATACTGCTACATAGTAGTGTATGTAAGTTCACTACTGTACCGTCCTACTACACCCAGGTCAGTACATACCGCCTCCAGGGTGTACATGCATGTATGCACATACTGCTACATAGTACTGTATGTAAGTTCACTACTGTACCGTCCTACTACACCCAGGTCAGTACAACATACAGTGCCACGCCTCCAGGGTGTACTTGCATGTATGCACATACTGCTACATAGTACTGTAGTTCAGTTTTAAGACTATATACCTTCCTACAGTACTAAACTCAGGTCAGTATGTGCTAATTAGGCACACACTGATAGGTTTAGCTACATACTCTTTCATTATTTACGTCCATTAAAGGTCTACTGTACCGTATTTCGTACGGCCATTAAGGATATGCCACACTCAACAAGGAATTTCTTTATTATGTCATACATACAGCCATTAAGGAACTCCCTTCGACTCATGGGGGGCCCCCCGAATCTGGTCCCCGACATGTTTGAGCTGCAGCTGAGTTTCAGCATCACCAACTACCTCCACAAGCTGAAGAAGCAGGCCAAGATGGAGAGCGAGCGGGTCGTCTCTGCCATCTCGCAGAACAGGACCAACGACGCTCACAAACGATCCAACGGAATGTCAGTGAAGAAGGGGTTAAATGATACATATGTTGTGGAGTGGGAAATTTTGTTGCGTGTGCCTAAGGCTAGGTTCACAATATGTCGCATTGCCCCGTTGCGCCGTGCTGCGAAGATGTAGGAATAGATTCTATCCTTGCGATGTGGCAACGCAGCACGGCACGACGGGGCAATGCGACATATTGTGAACCTAGCCTTAGACATTTTCATGATGTTCTTGTGACTACGCATTGCGTTTTTGGCTCTCACACTGTACTGTACATGAACTGGGCTCTAGTAATGGTTTTTTCCTGCCCTACAGAGTTGACTTAGGTGACGGCATCAGTATAGCCATTGGATCAACTCAGGAGGTATGTATAATGTGCACACTGTTACACTTTATTTTTCATGAATGAAAACATTTTTGGTCGACTGAAACTATTGCATTGTCACCAATCATTGTATTATAATATGCTAATGAAGGGTGAGCGTGTTCAGGGGTTTCGGAATCCATTTGACATTGTGCGGTCGTCACTCCTCGAGCAAGTCAGGTCCATGAGGACCAACTTTCTGCAGGTCTCTTCCTCGACTGCCCTCAACGTGATCGAAGAAGGTATTAGTGCACACACACACACACACACACACACACACACACACACACACACACTCTCTTCAGTTGAAAAGACATACACCATTATGGCTAATTGTGTTATATCTCTCTTTTTCTTTCTCCTCTTTGTTTGAAAAGTCCAACCTTATGATATAGCCGTTTTGGCAGAACATAATATAAGAACGTATAATGTAAACCACGTAGGAGCCAAATCCACTATTACACATCAAGCATTGCCAATTTGGCTGTATTTGTAGCCATAGCCAATTGCTTTGGGGGCCTTTTGGGCCCTGACCAAGCCTCGTTGGAATCAGCATTTCTTCTCTTCTTCCCTCCTTCCCTCCTCCCTCCCTCTTTTACCATTCCACTCCCTTCCCTCCCTCCCTCCCTTTCCTCCCTCTCTTTCCTCCCTCTCTTCCCTCCCTCTCTTTCCTCCCTCCCTCCCTTCCCTCCCTCCCTCCCTTCCCTCCCTCCCTTCCCTCCCTCCCTCCCTTCCCTCCCTCCCTTCCCTCCCTCCCTTCCCTCCCTCCCTCCCTTTCCTCCCTCTCAGTTGCACGTCATCAAGTACCCATCAGCCAGATGGGCAACTATCAGGAACACCTCAAAAAACTGAATCCACTCCGAGAGGTTGACTCTGGAGCCGTACGAACCCAGCTCTTCGGAAACCCCTTCAAGCTTGAGAAGGTGTGGTCTGCATCATGTGACACTCACATGATGATCACATGATCTCTCTCGGTATAATCTAGAAAGGATCTGGTCAAGACTTGGAGATTTCGCTGGCCGACGAGCACATGGTGGAGACACTGGGAAGTCGGCGATCGTCCGGGAGGAGGCGAAATCCTCGCTCTCCGTCCCCGGTCCCTTCTCCCCGCTCTCCCTCCCTCCCCTCCTCCCCCATCCCCTCACCCACTCCCTCCCTCACCAATCACAACAAACACAGTGTTCATAAGAATTGGAGTTTACCTGAAGAAGAACCAAATGGAAGCAGAAAACTTCCCACCAAAGACGCAAAAACGCCAAAGGTTGAACCTGGTAAAGAAGGGGTTAATCACCCGAATGCCGAATCCATGGAAAGCGGAGCAGGGTCGAAAGGTCAAACCAATGGTAGCGAGTAGTACGAAATCTCTAACCAACAGCTCTACGGACCAGCAGAGTTCAGTGAACAACAGTTTCCCCCATCGAAAACGAGAGAGAACTCCTTCCCCCACCCCTTCTCTGCCAGGTTAGCCCCCAAAATTACAGCAAAGATAAATATTCTTGCACTGGGACCTGCTGTTTAGTTCTATCTTAAGTAACATTTATCCCAAATGTAATGTGCGATTTCCCTTTAAATTCTAAATCGTGTATGAACCTTCGCAGGTCCGAAGAGACGTGCCAAGAGTCCTTCATACCCTCTTGTTAACTCCACTGCAAACGACACGTCAACGGGCCAACCGTCCAATCAAAAAGCTCCGCAGGTCTCGAACAAACCCCCGCTGAGCGGCACAAACAGCTCGCTGAAGCTGCCCCCTGCCGTCAGACTGGTAAAACCGGAAATGTCGTCGGCGTCGAAGGTGCTAACGGAGGAGATTCAGAAACAGCAGGGACAAGAGAATGCCAGGCTGAGGATCCTCATCTTCAAGGAGGTCAAGAAACAGGGCAAAAGTAAGCAAACTCTAGCCTAAATGAAAACTTTGTGACTAAAACTTTCACTAATTTTGGGCAAGTGCATATAAGTTTAGCAGATCGTGTCTGCTTAAATGCGCTCATGAAAGCTTTTCACGAAACGGAGAATTTTTCGTTGTGGAGTAATTGCATCGTCCTAAGTGCGTCGACCTTTTGCGAACCCTGCAGTCACCCATTGTTGTGCATACAAGCTGCTTTGTGAAAAGTCGCTCATGACTTTTTACTTTTTTCCTCATCCTTCCTCTCTCCCCTCCTCTCGTATGCCGTCACTCCTCTCCTACCGCCAGACTACTCTCCACAGACCCTATTCCAGTATCTCGAAGGGGTCAAAGGATCCGTTGAGGTCAGACGTGGCTTCGTACAGGACGTCATCAGAGAAGCCACCAAATTCAAGCGGAAGCCACTAATTCAGCAGCTAGAAGAATGGGCAGAGAGACTACCATCCTTCAAGACGGCATCTGGCGGGGGAGCACTCAAACCTAAGCCAAGGACGACAGACAAGAGATAGTGGTGACCAGTGCCCCACCAGTGTCATCTATGATCAAGCCACTTGTAATATATAATGTGAATATCATATGCATACACATGCATTACCGGCATTGCACACACTACATGCAATCACACCCCTCACCGGTCTTTTAAAAAAGATTTTATGTATATATACAACTGAAAAATGAGCGAGCACGTACTAAAGTTGTTTGTAAACAACGGGGCATATGTAAGTATGGGTTTTGATATACAACAGGTTAAACCACGGAAGATATATTATTAAGGTTCATTTTTGTGATGAGAAAGTGATATAAGTGATGGCTGTGTTGTACTAGAAGTGTAAGTTTAACATGATGGGCTTCAATTAGAGTAATGCCAACATCTCTTTTTCTTCTTCACCAAAATCGCTATCACCTGTTTCGTCATCAGCATTACTAAAACAAGGGTTAAGACAAATTGACTGGTTTGTAAAGGTTGGACATATGGGTATCACAAAAAGGAAGGAAAATGGAGCTCCGTTAAACTGCTGATAGCAAGACTTGGATGTCTTCCCTAGAAACAAAAACACGCTTTGTGAGCCAGCATTGCTATTTCTACGCCTTTATAGGCAGGTTGTGTACACGATCATGTGGGAGAGCTTACAGTGTACATTAATGTGTGATGGCACGTTTGCCTTTGTCTAGTGTCCCTACTTGAGCCCCTACCAGCTGGTAGTAGAGCACTCGCCTAGACTGCAAAGGATCCCACCTAGGGCAGCCTTTTTAAAGTACTTCTGGGCATACTCAAGGGAGAGCTTCGTGTGATGGCATTGTCTAGTGTTGAAGATTTGAGCCCCTACCAGCTGAGCTGCCCTGGTAGCTCAGTTGGTAGAGCACTCGCCTAGACTGCAAAGGATCCCCTGAGCTGCCCTGGTAGCTCAGTTGGTAGAGCACTCGCCTAGACTGCAAAGGATCCCACCTAGGGCAGCCTTTTTCAAGTACTTCTGGGCATACTCAAGGGAGAGCTTTGTGTGATGGCATTGTCTAGTGTGAAGATTTGAGCCCCTACCAGCTGAGCTGCCCTGGTAGTAGAGCACTCGCCTAGACTGCAAAGGATCCCACCTAGGGCGGCCTTTTTCAAGTACTTCTGGGCATACTAAACTTGTTTGCTTTGCATTTGCTTTGCTACCTCGTTGTTGACACATACTAAAGAGATTTGCAGACTTAAAACTGAAGGTCACACATAGAAAATGAAACAATGGCAGCACACCAACCGACTCCTCACCTGGTGTCGTTCTCCCCGGCCTCCTCAGCCAACAGTATCTCATACTGATCAGCGGCGTACCTGTCCCACTCGGAGCACAGCGTCTCCACATCGTCTCTCGCCATGGTAACCGGGTCCCGCTGCTCGAACTCGAGGTATTTCTCGACATTAATGAAAGTGTTGAGGAAGGCAGGCGTCAGTTTGCATGCCTTCAGGTCACCCAGGGAAATGCAATCTGTGTGGTGTATTAGAAGTGTCTGTCATATAATTGCAGTGGTAAACCTCTAATCAAGGATGTGAGTATGGTGGCAGCCACAAAACCAATAGGTTAGACCACCTTTAACCCCCCTGCCCCTCATTCCTTCCTTTATCTTTGCTCTGTCTTAAGATTCCACCTGTACCCCTCTCCCTCCTCCCTCCCTTTCTCTCTTTTCTTCCCTCCCTCCCTTTCCCTCCTTTCTTCCCTCCCTCCAACTCTCCCTCTTCCCTCCCGCCCCCTCTCCCCCCACTCACTCTTCAGTCTCGGGTTGACCATGTCAAGGACCTGGCAGACGGTGTTCTCAACTGACAGACATTCGATGCTCAGCTCTCGTAGTCGCTGGAGAACCTCCTCGTAGAACAGCTGCAACTCGTACAGCGACAGAACCCCGTCTCCGTCCACGTCTAGACACCGGAACCAGTACTCGATGCTGCAAATGAACATTACAGCAAGTTCGTTACATAGGACTCTAATTAGAGCACCCCCTAGTTTGGAGGCACAAAAATGTTCACATGCAAGCTCTCGATTTTCTCACTGCAATACACCTCGGGTTATTTTAAGAACTCTGATACTAAAAATAGACACGGCATATGTTGGGTGGTGGGTGTGGTTTCTGGCTCCGCACATACCTTCGCTGAGTTGTTTTGTCTTCTTCTGAAAGAAGGAACCATATGAAGTCTTTGTAACTGAGTTTTCCAGCTGGCACCGTCTTGTCCCTGTGAGGAGCAGAGGGAGGGAAAGGGAGGGAGAGGGAGAGAAGGGAGAGGGAGAGGAAGGAGTGAAGGGAGGAAGAGGGAGAGAAGGGATGGAGAGGGAGGGAGAGAAGGGAGCAGGAGAGAAGAAAACAGATTAGTCGATGGGACAAAAGATATAAAAGTGGAAAAGCATAAGATATAAAGCGAAGTAGACAAAACTTCTAGAGAATTAAAATTTATTTTTTGCAGCAGTTGAAGCTTCGTTTGCAATGAGACGTTCACTACAGTCACAACAAACCCCTACCAGTGTACGCATTATGTAATTTACACTACTATACTCTTATTATTGTGCATAATGTAATATTATGCTGACTACTATTATTATTATTGTGTATATAATACATAGTAATGCTGACGGCTGTAAATCCAAAACAAACGGTAAAGTTTGGGTTATACATAGGCCAACACAAACAGGTATGGTATACACGCATACATACAATGTACTTACTACAGCGCCATACCACAATGCATATTGTGTTATGTACATAAGTATGTGTACAGGTGTATTGTACGAGTGTGTTTACCTTGTGACAATGCCAGACATGATTCTTTGTATGACCAGAGGAGTTAGCGCTGTGGGGGCGAAAGACAACAATACTTAGAAACTGGCTGTTTATTTCGGTAGCTAACTAGTAGTAAGGAATGACAGGTACAATCACCAATTTCACCTTTGGCAATCATGTGTGTTATTAAAGGAAGTGTGTTGTAACCGTGGTCAAATAAATATGCATGCTTATGCGGCCACCAGCACCTACACACAGAATGACCAAGAATACCCACAAAGGATAAATCGAAGAGTTTTGACTGTTTCTAACGCAAGGTGCCTCATTCTTTTTCCCTCCCCCTCCCCCAACCTTTTTTGTTTTGAATCCTGTCTTTCTTACTTGCTGCTCACTTTACTCACTCCCTCCCTCACTGTCTTATTCCCTCCTTCTTCTCCCTCCCCCACTCACCATGATCAGCATGTCTTGAAAGATCCTGTTCACCAATGACGAGGTCGTGGTCGGTATCGAGCTCCCAGAACTTGCAATAGATGACGTAGAAATGCTCGTACGAGAAGTAGTCAGTCACGGCATTGATATCTGATTCCTCTTCCAGACTTCTTAGGATCTGAGGGAGGGGGGGAGGGCAGGGATTAAGGATGGAAGCAGCAAGCAAAGATGGGAAGGAGGAGAAAGTGCCCAGGGGAAATGATGGGTGTACAAAAGAGCTGAAAGGAGAGAAGATGAATAGGACACTCTTGGGCCAGAGAACAGGGATGCCAAAATTGTGAGAGGTGTCCTCAGAGAAAGGAGTGGGTAAGACAAACACCATTGGCAGGTAATGGACGTGTAGTCACCACACCTCAGGCACAACACTAAACTTTCCCTCTCTCCCTCCTTCCTCAAGTTCTCCCTCTCTCCCATTTCCCTTTCTTCTCGTATATACCTGCAGAAAGTTGCTTCTTCGAAGGTCAGAGACGGTTATCCTATTGTTCCAACTCCGGTCCACCGAGTAAAAGATTCTGCTGATCACCTGGCAACGGAGGGAGGGAAACACGTCACATTACAGCTGCAATTCTCTTTCACCAATAATAGCTCTATTTATGGCACACATGTACACATGAGGCAACTTGGAACAGCGCGGTTACCAGAAATAGAACGGGGTTCTAATTTTAGCAGGACACAAGAAACTGCACAACTTGCTACTATAATAGTATGTGAACAGGGGAAATTTTGGTGAGCGGAAGCAAGAGTTTTTATTTGCGTACTGGCCTACACCAATTGCACCATTCAGACCACTCGGTTAGCTAGCTCACTTACGCCAACCTTACAGCACGGTTGCAAGCCTGTGCTGTATGCATTACTGCTGCAATTTCCATCTAAAGTCACCATGGATACACCAATATCCCAAGGGAAAGTGTACCCAGGAACCGTACAAACTTAGCACTTTTGCACAAACTTTCCACGAGGCTATATAAATAAGTCCTTCCACATATGCACAAGGACAAAGTAAAATCTGCAGAGAGAATCGCTCTAGCTAAGGCTTGGGAAAAACAGCGCCATGTTGGGTTAGAACCAAGTAACAAGTGCTTCTGAAGCAGCTGCTTTACCCACAGAGCTACCAAGGTAACCCGGCTGCCTCCTGTGAAAAACCCATACCTAACACACAGGCAATTCATTGTATTTTGTCACACACACACACTGACTAATGCAGTCTCATGTTTCCAAGTGTTTCAGTTACACACACTACAAGTATTACAATATGTATTTGCGGTTTTGATTTCCAACCAGAGTGCATTGTCCGGCAAAACACTACACCTCATTGTTTGCATTGCTGCCGCGTATCACCAACAAAAGGCCCTGTGTCCATGGTAACCCGAGTTAGTGTCACATTGACTTGGGAAGCTACCAGCCCCACGTGCGGGGTAATCGAGATTACATAGCTTCCTATAGTCCGCAAAGATTAGCTTCCTCTAGTCCACAAAGCTATTAGTGGTATGTATACATTGACACATCGTATTGGTGACAAATATAAACAGTGTAATTACATACGATGTGATTTATTACCAAGTAAAATTCTAGTTAACCACGCAAACACGTACATACATATGTAACTGGGTGAACATCACGTATCCTTAGGTGTGTGTGTGAAAACTAGTTATGTCGTTTGCCAATCGCATCCCTGCATTCTGACAGATGACTTTAAAGTTGGAGTGTGTGTTGTTGATGCTTTAAATGCCAATAGTCTAAAGTATCAACACCTCGTTAATACTACGCTTGGCACACTTTAGACATTCGGATGACTGTCGTTACCCGTTACATCATTCATTGTGTACATTATAAAGGGGTATGGGAGGCGATGATGTCATGGCTTACTGTTTCGATGTAGCGAGCGTGGAACTCGGGAGCTGTTGCTAGGAAGGCAAGTCCAGGGTGAGTGTCTACTATGTCCTGTGGAGAGATAGAGGAGAGAGAGGGGGGGAGGGAGGGAGAAAGAAGAGGAAATAGACAAGGAAGGGGAATGGTGAAATTCATTCATGGTGGTTTAGAAGAGAGAAACGTTTGTATACATAAAGTTGTTCACTGATACATTAACCGTTGATTCTTCGTTGGTCCGTCCTTTAACCCTCACATGCTTGCTAAGCAACGTCGTCAGTCCTAATGATTATTTGCACTGCACTTTCCTGCTATAGTCACCCCCCACCTTCTTGCTAAAAGTAAGAAAAGTTTAGGCCACCCTACTCTTATACACTGCACACTCCAGCTATAGTCAAGGTATTCAGGATGGTCGGTTAGTCTGTCCTTCTCCCCACCTTCTTTCTAAAAGTACAAAAAGTTTAGGCCACCCTACTCTTATACACTGCACACTCCAGCAATAGTCTAGGTATTCAGGATGGTTGGTCAGCCCTTCCTTTCCTCCACTTGCTTGCTAAAAGTACAAAAACTAGGCCACCCAATATATCACTGTCACCATTTACACTCTCCAGCTATGCATGCGTAGAAAATCGTTTATTTAGCTGTCACCAATACCTTTACGATTACATCATCTCCTTATGACCCACCACACACACACACACACACACACAACATCTTGCTTCCAACACACCACACAGAGCCTTAACCAGACGCGTGGTCTACGGGCATTCCCGAGATTCCTGAGCTAATTTATTACGCAAGTCCCGAAGAGGAACAGGAATGTTCGGATTAGCCAGCGGGCACCACCCAAATAGCCTCAAAAGTTCAGTTCCTACACCGTCACTTCCCAGAGTCTGCGAACCTTTCAGAAAAACCACATTCTGGCACATTCGAGAGTACAAAAGGTGTACGTTCTACTTACTTGGAAATTGCGGGAGTAATGCGAAATTGTCTGTCTGGCTTTGCATACATACACACACACACACACACACACACGGCATTGTCTTCTAACCGGTACGCACATACTTCACACACTGCAAAGTACTGTAGCTCAAAACTTATAGCAGTACGTATGCTTGTGGTATTCGGTATTATGTGTCCAAAGGATCGTTAACGGCACACTTTAGGTCAACTCCTCGCTTTCCTCCCCCTGAAAAAATATCCTTGCACACGCACACCACACAAATTCCAGGAGGCTGCCCACACCAAACACGTCTCCATTTCCTGGCTTCCCAAGCAAGCTACGAAGAGTTACGAAGTCTGGAATTGCAGTGATAGACTGAGGCAACACTTCCACATCCTGGGTTTCCTCACCAAACATGCCCCATTATTACTGCCCTTCAGCACCAACTAAACCCTGGACTGCACCTACATCAGCTTCTCATAGGAACTATGTAACATGTCAGCAGAGGAGGTATATATAATATAGTGATGTCAGTAGAGGAGGTATATATAATATAGTGATGTCAGTAGAGGAGGTATATATAATATAGTGATGTCAGTAGAGGAGGTATATATAATATAGCGAGCAAAGGATTTTAACCTCCTCACAACATCTTTTTGCGAAATATTTTAGTTATACAACAGAAAATGTTTTAATTAAAGGGAATGCGGTATATAGCACATTCTGTTTAGTTTCATCTTTAGTAACGTTTCTAAATTTAGCCCGTATGTAATGCCACATACATTTCTTTAAAAATTCAGGTATATATTATACACAACAGGAATGTGATTAAGGTAATAAGCATATTTTGATGAATAGGAAAGACTTCATTAGGTAGTCGTAGGTTATTGACACGGGGTACCTGTGCCAGACTATTTTGGCTGGTTATGAATTGACCCAAACTTGACTTGCTTGCTCATGCAATAAAATCCTATTTTTCCTAATTTGCAACTCCATTCGCCGCCTCATTGTGTTTGCCAGTGTAGGCTGGGGGTTAAAGTATGAACGGGGGAGACCCAAGGACGCCACAATTCCTCGCTCTTTGTCAGTGTGGTTTGGAGTTTGCCACTAGATAACTACAGTCTTATTAGGAGCCACGGCCAAATAGGTGTATAATACTATATGCATACATGTATAATGAGCACTAATAACATAGTACTTTCAGAGTCAGAAAAAGTAAAACAAAGTGAACTATGAGGTATCTAGACTTTTGTCAGCATGTCGTGAAAAAAGGTGTTTTTTAGCAGTTAAAATGCTTATCCCCTCCAAGAACAGTTTCCTGTATGTGATTTACCTGCATAAGGAGTTCGAAGTCAGATTCGGTGAGATAGCTTCTGCCCTCTGTGGCCATAAGTTTGACGAATCTAGCTGGCTCATCATGACAGTGTCTTGTTACCCTATAGAGGAGGGAGGAAGGGAGGGAGGGACAGAGAAGAGGTAAAATAGAAGGGGCAGGGAGGGAGGGAAGGAGGTAAGAGGGGAAGGACAGGAGGGACAAAGAGAAGGTAAAGAGGGGAGAAGGAGAGGAAGGGGGAGAAAGCTGCTTCAAAGCATGCACTGTCCCACCCTCAACTTCATGTATACACTATACACACAACACGCACTCAAAGCTCTGTTCAAATGTTCTTGCCATTAAGAGGGTGCATGTGTATCCATACACCATTGAGAGAGTAGTTCAAGTGTCAGGTAGTGTGAGATACATATGTTCCCGCTATTGGGTGTGATGGCCGATGAAGCTACGAACAAGATGTCAGTGTCATTGGTTAGTAGCGGCACAAAGGGCCAATTGTACTTGACAAGGAGGGAGTAAGAGGAGGAGGAGAGAGGGGAGACATCGGAGAGGGAGGGGGAGAGGGAAGATGAAGGGGTGAAAAGTAGAAAGCGAGAGAGCAACAGGAGTTGGGTCTACAGTACGCACGTAAAAAGCTTATGCGGTATATGCACACATGCTGTGCCCCAACTGTGCCCGACGCTGTAGCTACATTCCGAGCATCGTTGGGATTCTAAACTACATACCGGCATTCCAGGAATGGTGTAATGTGCGTCGTACCACGCACATCAAGGCAGGTAGCCACCTGCCCATCGCTAATCCACACACACACGACCATAATGCAGAGGTCTAACCGCATTACCTCGTGATGCAGCCTGGCAAGCAAGTGGCTGAGAGCCAAAAAAAGCCAGCCAGTACTACAAACTGGTCTATATTATTTCTATGGATTCTTTTCCCCTTTCGAACTGCAGTGTACCAACCCACCACGTCAACTAAGAGAACTAACATGTTGCTGAAAATGAGGTCTTTTTTGCATCAATAAGCACGAGTTAACACTACAACTAAGACGAAAAAAGAGTGGCTAAGTTTTTTTTTCACGTACACACGTACAAAGTCAATATCCATTATTCCTTCTCTTTCATTTTGTAGGCTCTGTATAACAAGTGTGTTGCTTGTACCAAGCTTTAACAAAGAAAGAGTGCACTCCTCTCACTGGAGTACAAAATCCACTTGAAACTCCTTGATTCCTTCATTCCCCTCTCTCCCTCTCATCCCCCCCTCTCTAAAACTAACCTCTGCCACGTCTTCCTTAGCCCTGGTAGAGAGACAGTTGCAGCTGTGTCAGTGGGGGTGGGGTCACCGTCTTGACACGCGCTAAAGAGTGTGGCCTTCCAATAGAGAGGCAGTCCCATGGCCTGTATATTAGAGACAGGTATATACAGGTGTAAGGGATACTGTCATGTGTCTGAAATCATAGACCTTTACTCATGTTTTCTGCCCAGACAGGAGGGAGTATTGGTGAAGGACATGATCAATGATACCAAAGGACACCCCTGAGACTAGGACACCTCTCTAATACAGACACTTTCCCTAAGAACAATTTCTTGCTAAAGCCCAGAGACAAGGAAAACTCTGCAATATGGACACCCTTCTTCTCATTTGGCGTCCGGATTAGAGGGGTTTCAGGGTGCTATTATATGGCCACTTTTGTCTGTACCATTGGTGTCCGGCCTAGAGAGAGTATAGAGAGAGTACCACTGCACCCACCACCCAAAAACTGTTTACATTACAACTGCCAGTTTTGGTGGCAAACTTAGTTGTCTGTGATGGTAAAACTGTGGTAGGCACTTCCCTGCATACGATATGAGATAGAGTGTTGAAGGGAGAGGTTTGGTGGATAAACGACACCAACCAATACGGTTAGGATTTCGTCATATTTGCACACATACACAAACACAAGACCGAGTCAATTGCATAAATTGAACTAACTATGATCTAACCCGTACATTTCGCACACACACACACAACACAACTTCGAGCATATAGGACACATCACTGAGCATGGGAAGGCTGTACGAACAAAGAGGCTAGTCTGTGTAGCCTACAGGGGCAGGGGTAGACAATGCTCTACTGTCATAGTATCAACTCCACATACTTCATGCCCAACAGTGTGGAGACAAAAATGCACAGACAGTGATAACAACTCCAGACAAAAATTGTTTTTATTTGTTCCCAAACACTATATTATTTGGCACACACACATGTGTAATATCTCCCTACTTTATTTCACACCATCATTTGCTTATTTGTTGTTAAACACTTCCCACACTTATTTTACAAACTCTGATATAATATTTCCCTACATATTTCACACTATTATTGTTTTGTTAAACACTTCCCATACCGTTTACATACTATTATTATTTCCCTGCATAATTAACTCTACACTATTGCCAAGATGCTTGAAATAGATAGATATTGCAAAATGCAGTGTTGCATTACAAATGCAATCCACCAGCAAGGGAGTGAACAGGATATAATATTGCTCCGGATTATTGCACATATATTCAAAATGCAATCCGAAGCACATATCTGTGGTTTATTTATGGCACAATAAAACCACCTTTCGACTTTAAATTATACTTAACAGCACGAGTTTCCTGCTGAGTGAAGCGTGCATGTCACTAATGCACTTGGTACTACAAAAACCTGTTACTACACTACTCTTCATTGGTCTAATCCACCTAAAGATTGGACTAAAAGGTCCTTGAAATTCGCAACACATGTGCCGTAATGCAGAGCATTAAGCATCAACCGGACACCAATCGCAACTTTTGCAACACAATTACTGCCACAAACCACTTCGTATTGTATCAGAGAGGAAGAAAAGACGTCCCAAGTTGGCCTGACGATTGATTAGGCATGCAAGGAACCACATATTGAACAAACTATGGCAGGAAGGCATCATTACTTACAAACCCTATTAGTTTTAAATGGCTTAGTTATTCATCACCCCCCTCCCTTTACCTAGTTCAGCTGCACCTTTAGGTAAGAGCTGCATGTGTGTGTAATTATACTACTTGCAAGCAAGTGTCATGAAGTCTCAAATCACCTTGACAATCAGGTGGAAATCTGCCATGGTCACTTCTCCATTAGGCTGCTCTTGGAACACATTTGCAGCTGCTTCTAGCTGCCCATCTATGCTCTCTTCTCTTGCCTCTCCCGCCCTTCCATTGGGAAAGAAGAAACGCGGAATAACTTCACTGCGTGTAAGTTTTGCGCTTTTTGCGCTCCTGGCTCGTCTAGCTTTCTGTTGCTCGGTGTCTTTCAGGATTGCACTGGTATCGGCTCTTCCCGGCGCACCTGCCTTCTCCGTTTTCCTTGCATCCGGCTCTGAAGTAGAGGGCGTCGGGAAATAGTCGGTATCGTCGAATGCAGTCGAGGGGCCGGTTTTCTCCGTTGCAGCGCTGCTGGAAGCTCCGTACTTGAGACTCCTGCGAGGAGACTTGGCGCGTCTCTTGGCGCGCGGGCTCTTGGGCGAGTTGGAGAGGTGCAACGGCGGCGAAGGGGTGCGGTAGTTGCTGTTGTTTGGGCTGGAAGACCGGGGAACGCTCGTAGTGACAGCCGACGGCCCCACAAGGCTATCGAGAATGCTGGGCGATTCTCCTCCGCCGCTCACACCGTCGTTCCCGTACCTGCAGACCTTGGTGAGCTCGTTGCGGAGCATCTCCTGCGTGGAGGGCTCCGAGAGCCAGAAGAGGAATAGCTCGTCCACCTTCTGGCGGGAATCCGGGACTGGCATCGCGTCAACCATGGCCATTCTTTGGACTTTCTTCTTCTTCGGCTGCCTGACCTACTCGCCAGCTAGCTGGGGTTTTCCGTGCGATAGCTGTGTTTGTAAGAGAACCACGTGCAGGAGAAAATCGTCTTGCAGCTTCGTTTTTTCTTTTTGTTATCCCACGTTCCGATCTTTTTATGTACGCGTGCCTCAAATTCTGCAATCTTATTGGTCAAACCCATTTAAAGTGGGGCGTGGCTCGTAATAGCGTGTGACGCGTAGTAAACATTGACCGGTGGTGGTATGCTCTAATTGGAAAGCCTTGCTAGTAGTGGCCGAAGAAGGCGAGTCGTTGTGCGTTGCCAGCGCGGTGTGGGCAGGATCCTCTGTGGTGAGACCTCTCTGCTCGTACTACTGCCGCACAATAGAACGTCCGGAGAATCAGCTACAGAGAGAGAAACGTCTCCACTGTAAGCACGGGCCGGTAGATCTCACGCAACAATCGCCTTCCGCCGGTTGAAGCAACGGTAGAGATGTCGACTTTCTGGGTTGGCGGCGACATGGAGGAGGAAGAAGAAGAGGCGGCTCCGGGGCAGACAGGTGCGGAGAGAGAGTCGGAGGAGAACGCGGAGTCTCGTCACAATCTCGGGCAGGCCTGGGAAATTGACTTCGGGTCCTCGAGCCAGTCGAAACCGAAGAAGATGCCCCGTTTTCTCTCCAAGACGAAGCCCCAGACCCAGACTGTGGTGGTCAAGGCCGCAACACCCAGTCCAACCTCTGCCAAACAAGGAACGAAAGAGAAGGGTAAGCCCCTCTCATCAACAACAAGGGCCACATACAAGAAGTCGACACCGACCCATCTAGCAGTGAAACCTCGAACTGCATCCTCTGCTCCGGCAAAAACCTCGGGCAAGTTTGCTACGGCCAGCATATCGTCGAAATCCAGTGTTCAGTCGCGAACGTCAACGGCAAAATCTTCAGCCAGTGGCACACCTTCGCTGTCTTCAAGATTAACTCCAGCAGCCGGTAGAGGGGCTGCAAGGAATCCAAATTCATCCCTCTCTACCGCAGCTTCCAGAGCCAGGCCTTCCTCTGCACCCTCGTCAGCGTCAAAAACTGGCCGTCGGAACAGCGGAAGTGGTGGGGGTACGGGTATATCCCTCTTCTCAAAGAGAAAATCGTCAAACACCAACTTGCCAGCGACGAAGGAACCAGGGGAGAAGACCGGAGGGAGAAAACTGTCTGCACTCTGGAGAAAGAGAGGCTCAAAGGACCAGATAAAGACCGAGAGAGGAGGAGAGGGAGGGGGAGGGAGGAGAGAATTGTCAGGGAAGGGATCCGAGAGTGGAGAAGGTGGCACCAGGATCCCACAGAGTAGGGCACTCCCTCGCGGAAGTCCAGGGATGTCTCGAGCTTCGACTGGAAGGGGAGGGGGAGGGAGGGTGTCGGCCAGCTCAAAGAAATCGAGCATTGTTCAGAGCAGTGGAGACATGGACGACGGGTGGGGGTGGCAGGAGGGGGAGGAGGGAGGGGCTACAGACGAGAGAGGTTTCGAAACGTCGGGTGCCACGCGGGGGAGCTGGGCTATGAAACAGCAGGAAAACTTTGAGCGCCTGCAATCAGAGCAGTTTTCCCCACGGCTCCAGACGACCCCGGACATCCCAAACTCTCGGGCGACTCGTCGGAAGTTGAAGGAGGTCCAGCGCTGGGTTCACGAGGTCACGATACACACCCATGGACAACAGATGCAGGAGACTCTGGAAAGAGGAGGGAGAGAGGTACGGATGGCTGCCGTCCCTGAAGAAATGGCCAGCAGAAAATTTCTCGACCTCAGAAGATGGTGAGTACGTATACATGATTTCAGTTAGGGACAGTTACAAAATTTTAAGTCACCTTTAAAATTTTCCTCCTGAACATGGAACTTGTGATTAGGGTATAATGGTGGGACAGTGAGTTGTGTATTATCCGTGTGTGATTTGCGGGATATTGTACGTTGATACAAGACTAGGCGGGTTGATTTAAAGGAGGTGAGAGACGGAAAGTGAAATTTTGTATGGCCCTGATGGTGCGAGACCAGTATGATCGCTCTGTACTTTCTGATACGGTTTGGCAATACACCATACACCATGTGTTGTGTGTGTAATAACACATTTCGGATTTATAGTTAAGTATTCGTACGACAATGGGATCCACTGTGCTGTCATATGTAAATTTGATACTGTTCAATACATTCAGTGTGACTCCATGTGTCCCAACTGTAGTTTCGATATAATAATTATGTATGCAACATAGCTCCCATTCACCTGAATGAGGTAAAGGTTGTTGCCCGGCATTGAGGAGACCCAATAGAGTGTGGCTGATTCTCTTCTCTCAATGGCCTATGGGGAGACTCTTATCCAACAGTCTATTACCACTGCTAAGATTAGAGCACATTACCAAATGCTAAGCATCACATAATACATAAAGAACAGTATACCGTCTACGTATGTACATACTATGACAGGAAACTGCGCACTTTGCACGACTAGGTGGATTTGCTTTGACAAATTAGCCGCGTGCCTATCACTCCACGTGGTATATACGTAGTTAGAGAGGACTCTGCAGGCGTCATGGGGTGATTTTTTTTTCAAAAGGAGAGTTCAAATACACATTACAAGAATCCCGACCATTTGTAATACCTATAATATCGCTGGACTTGCATACATGTGTGAGCGTAGTCTGCTGCCTTAGCTGTTCCTAAGCTTCTCAGATGAGTGTCATCAGCAAACATCAAAAGCCTATGTACGTAGTAACTTTGCAGTCTGATGCACATGCATGTAACACGTGGCCATTAATATATTGAAGGTAACCTGCATTGGATGATTTTCTATAGTCGCATGATGAGGTAGAGTGTGGTGAAATACATACCCATCACAACCGTTGAACAAAATTTGAGGGTTTATCCACAGTTTATCCCAAAAATTTTGTATAAGGTTTTTTTCCTATCTGCCGGCTATTTGTTATACTAGGGAGACACAAACACAGCACAAACTGTTACGTGTTGTATGTGTTGCACAGGTACTGTATGTCTCGGCCTCAGTACAGCCGATCGTGTGGGATATCCTCAGTCGTGTCCTGCTGGAATTTCATCTTCTCCACTCTCGGCAACGGAAGGTACGTACATGTATAGTATCATCTGCCATTTTCCCAGGAAGAACCTATGTATCTGTACTCCCTCCCCCTCTCTCCCCCTCCCCCCCTCACCCTCTCTCTTTTCTACATATCCCTCTTTCTTTTCACTTTTCCCTCTCTATATGCCTTCCCTCTTTCCCTCTTTTACCTGTCCCTCTCTCCCTTTTCTCTCTCTCCTCCCTCTCCCTTTTCTCTCTCTCCCCCCTCTCCTTTTTCTCTCTCTCCTCCCTCTCCTCCCTCTCTCTCTCCTCCCTCTCCTCCCTCTCTATACGATATCCCTTTCTCTCTCTCTCTCTCTCCCTTCTCTCCCAGCCTTCCTCCAATGACGCAAGAGGAAGCACTCTCATTGTTAGGATTCAAACCTCCGTTCGGTGAGATAAAATTTGGACCCTTCACCGGAAACGCGACCGTCATGAGGCAAGCCATACATACCCACCCATTTGTCATAATAATGTATTGGATAAGATGTCTTATGTGGTTACTTCAGCACAGAATTTGTGTGTACATATATAATATATCACTTGCCTCAGGTAATCGCATAGAATTTCATCATCCTTACTAAAACGAGCATTGAGGAAGCATTTAGACGTTGCCACACGTTAAAAAGGGGGTGTTTTACGTATATATCACATCCTCAAAGCATTCAAACCACAACCAATGCCCGTTGAAGAAGACCAGTACGAAAGCATAAAGCAAAAAGTACCGAAGTTATTTTAGAAAAATGAAAGTATGTTTTTTTAAGGATTGAATGGTGGGCTTTAGCTATGTGATAGACCGAAAGTCATTTTCAATGTAGATTGACTCACGGGGTCCCAACTGTGACAATGCAGGTGGTTCAAGACACTATGCAATCATAGAGATGTTTCGGGAAGGGCCTACTTTTTCTACAAGCCTGTCGGGAAGGGGAGGACGTTTGGCCTGAAACCTGCGCATGCCCTGGCCAGTCTGAAGGAAGGGCTACAAGACCCGCACACTGCCTTCATATACCACTGCTGGAACCACTACTTTTGCCCCATTGGATACGAAGAGGTCCCCAGGGAATGCCAGAATGCCTACAGGTAATATATTATAGCACCGCATACTTGTTTTGCTAACCCAACTCTCTCTATAATATATATAACACAATTAAAACGTGGAGGGGGACACATGGCCTGTGTTAAGGCTATAACTTGTAGCAAGACCTGGCATTGGTGCATGCAAGCTTATCACAACAATGTTGCATAAGATTTTATCATAAAACTTTGTTTTACACCATTGCGACAATGGCAGGTCAATGCAACAGAAGCTGCTAATACCCTATATTATATATATATTCCGTTTGAGCTGTTTTGTAGCAAAAGAATATTATAGTGAGTGTAGTTGTTTGTGTCTGCTGGTTCTGTAGTGTGGGTCTGGGAGAGGACGAGGTGGAGAACTGGATTCTCATTGGAGAGCCAAGTCGCAAGCATCCCGGGATTCACTGCAAGAAGTATGTTCTTTATCCGTACATAACTGTGTGCAATTTATAATTTTTTGACGTGACTTAATCCTAGTGGCCAAGTATAATCACTTTACTACTAATGAATTGCCTTTGTTAACCATAATGATTTTAATATTGCACACACATGCTAATGCAGTTACTATAGTTGGTTGTGTGTCCTCCCATGTCTGCCTCTCTCTCCTTTTTACTCCTCCCTCCCCCCACTCCCCATTCCTCCTCTAATCTAATTCTGTCTCCAGATGGGATGACATAGTCCTGGACCTCACGTGTGAGTCTCCTCAATGTTTCAACATCCGTCACCCGGAGCGCGGCGTCCAGACTCGACCCTCCACCAAAAGACCCGGCAGCAACCTCCACTGTATCATGGCCTTTACAATGCAGGAGAGCGGAGAATGGGGAATAACAGACGACTCTGTGTCACCGGAACCACACAGAGAGATGTCTGCAGTGAGAACTACAACACCGGTCGAGACGCTGGATAGCTCCGAGTCTGATTTTCCAATCGGAACGATGGAAGAGCAGAGTAGAGGGGTTAGGGAGGAGAAGGATGGAATTGAAACGCTCACGAGAGGCGATGCGGCTAAACTGTGCGTCTGGTCGGATGGAACTACACCCTCTCCCACAAGCAGTCTCGGGAGAGGGGAGATGGAAGTTTTGCGCGACAGAGAAACGGTTGGAGACAGAGGGAGCGAGGGTGGGGTGGAAAAGGAAGCAGGGAGTTTGGTTGAAGGGGACGAAGAGGGACAAGTTGAAGATGTCAACGCTACAGGGTTTGATCCACAGGAGGAGAATGTGGTAGCACCGATCACATCTCGATCAGGAGAACTGATTGCTGACCTACCAGATGATCCTGTACATGTAGAAGTAATTGAAGTAGTAGATGAAAAAGAGGAAGACCTAATGAATAAGACACTGACGCCAGCGAAGGACGATAGCGAAGCAACTGGCAGAACGGAAAATCAACCGTTCCTAGAAACCAACAGATTCGATACAGCTGATAATCAATCAGAGACTAATGAAAGAACGGAAAATCAACCGATGATAGAAGTCAACAGATCTGAGACTCCAGATAAACACTTTGTGAGGCGAGGTGCTACCTATCGTAAGACCAGATCATCCCTATCACCTGTAGTGAATCTAGAAGGTGGGCAACAATTAGAAGAAGCTGCCACAGATGATGATCCAGTAATGCCTGGAGACTACACAAGGCGAAGTGGGACTTTCAGAAAAGAGAAACCTTCGCTTTCCACGACGACCATTCATATCGACATACCCGATGCAAGAATTAGTTCGACGGCTGCAGATACTAACACAACAGACATTGGTGGTAGGTCTGCAGTTGAGGACACAAGAAACGTGAGTGCTCTCCAATTAGAGTCAACCATCGACTACAGAGATGGTGATGGTGATGGCAACTTGGAAGTAGTACTTGCAACTGATCAAGAATCTGGTCTAAAACGAAGCGGCACCTTCAGAAAAGAGAAACCAACACTGGAAGTTTCTCCGATTGTTAGAAGAGGCTCAAACGCCAGCCAGCATAGCGATCAAGACCGAAACTCAGACCACGATTTTCAAGACGTGACCCGTCGTACGAGAAGCACTGAGCCAGCGACACAAAGCCCCATCCCCATACCAACAGTTTCTCTTACTCTGCCGCCAAACTCGGTCCCCATAGTGGCCTACCCAGATAGTGATGATGACAGTAGTGTGGAGGAGAGCTATCTATTGGTGGACGAAGACCCGGCGTCTCTCATTGGGAGGGGGGTCAGAAGAAGTGGAACTTTCACCAAAGAAAGACCTAATAGCACACTCTTTGGAGATGACTACTTCTGAAGTAATCATCAAAATATCAGTTTTAGAACTCATCCTCTGTTCAATGATGTATGATATTGCACCAGTTTCAGATTCAGTTATCAATCATGTGTTCAACAAATTTCAGAAGATTCTAAGTGTGACATGCTTGTCTTGTCCCCAACCCACATTACTAAAGTATTACTTGTCTTTGAAATTCTCTAGCATGTTGTGACATGAACAAGTTACCCTGCCTTTAAATCAGTTTATCTTACACCAATCGCAGTTCCAGCTCTTTACCAGTGTTAATTTAAAAAATGTTGATAATGGCAAAAGAAAATGGCAGTAAAAGGTGACCTGTTGGAGTTGTGGTGGCTTTGAGAAAAGCCGTTTTGAGAGAAAAACAAAAGAAAAAGGGAGTCTAATACTCGACGCTCTGGGAGCTCTTCTTGCCGCCGCTGCTGGCCGACTTCTTGGGCAGGAGAACGGCTTGGATGTTGGGGAGAACGCCTCCCTGGGCGATGGTGACTCCCTTGAGCAGCTTGTTCAGCTCCTCGTCGTTCCGGATGGCCAGCTGGAGGTGGCGCGGGTTGATCCTCTGTTTCTTGTTGTCGCGGGCGGCGTTGCCGGCCAGCTCGAGGATCTCAGCGGCGAGGTACTCCATGACGGCTGCCAGGTATACGGGAGCTCCTGCTCCGACTCGCTCGGCGTAGTTGCCCTGACGGAGGAGACGGTGGACTCTGCCGACTGGGAATTGAAGACCGGCACGGGCAGATCGGCTCTTGGCCTTGGCACGGGCTTTTCCTCCTTTGCCACGTCCAGACATGACGACGATTCTTGACGGAGAGACGGTAGTGTTTCACAAAAAGCGATGAGAGAGTGAATGATGGATGGTGCAGTTAGAGGTGGGGTATTTATTCTTCCCGCCACGGATCAAACGGGGAGGATCATTCTGCAACTGACCAATCAGATTCGCGTTGGGAAATAACCGGACTGCATCGGATCACTCCGCGCGATCCTCCACCCCGCGTTCTGATTGGTCGAAGCCAAAGTGATCCTCATCACAGTGATCCTCCGGCAGGCGACAAAATACAAGAGTGCAGTGGACGAGAAACAATCATCCAGTTTGACGGTCTTTCTCAACTGATTTCAACAGTTCAACCAGCGCTCGATACTGCACGTCATGCCTGGCAAGGTCGCTGCCAAGAAAGGCGAAAAGAAAGCCGCCGCCACCAAGTCCAAGCCTGCGGGCGAGAAGAAGAGGAGAAAGAACCGCAAGGAGAGCTACTCCATCTACATCTACAAGGTTTTGAAGCAGGTTCACCCCGACACTGGCATCTCCAGCAAGGCCATGAGCATCATGAACTCGTTCGTCAACGACATCTTCGAGCGAATCGCCACCGAGGCTTCCCGACTGGCCCACTACAACAAGAAACACACGATCACCAGTCGCGAGATCCAGACGGCCGTCCGC